GAGTGTGTCAGGGTTGTATCCTTTCCCCATACTTATTCAGTCTATATGCTGAGCAAATAATCCGAGAAGCTGGACGATATGAAGAAAAACATGGCATCAGGATTGGAGTAAGAATCATTAACAACCTAAGATATGCAGATGATACAACTTTGCTTGCTGAAAATGAGGATGACATGAGGCACTTACTGATGAAGATTGAAGAATACGGTCTGCAGTATGGATTATATCTCAATATAAAGAAAACAAAAATCCTCACAATGGACTGATAAGCAGCATCACGATAAATGGAGAAAAGATTGAGGTTGTCAAAGAATTCACATTACTTGGTTCTACAATCGATACCAATGGAAACAGCAGTCAAGACATTAGATGATGTGTAGCACTGGGCAGGTCAACCACAAAGGAACTGTTTCAAGTGCTGAGGAGCAAGGATGTCTTCTTGAGGACTAAGGTGCACCTGACACAAGCCATAATATTTCCAATTGCCCCATATGCATGTGAGAGCTGGACAATGAATAAGGAAGACTGAAGAAGAGTTGATGCTTTTGAGTTGTGGTGCTGGTGAAGAGTGGACTGCTAAAAGAACTAACAGATCTGTCCTAGAGGAAGTACAGCTGAAATGCTCCTTAGAAGTGAGAATGGCTATACTTTGTCTCACCTACTTTGGTCATGTTGTCAGAAGGGACCATTCCCTGGAGAAGTATGCCATGCTTGGTAAGGTGGAGGGTCGACAAAAGAGGGGAAGGCCTTCAACGGGATGGATTGACACGGTGGCTGCGACGATGGGCTCGAGTATAGCAGGGATCATGGAGCTGGCGTGGGATTGGGTGGTGTTTCGTTCTGCTGTGCATGGGGTCGCTATGAATCAGAAACGACTTGACGGCACCTAACAACAACAACTACATGTGCTGTCGAGTTGGACCTGATTCATTGCAACCCTTTGGGTTTCCGAGGCAGTATCACTACGGAAGTTGATTGCTCAACCTTCCTTCTGAGGAGTGGCTGGTGAGTTTGAACCACCAGCCTTCTGGTTAACAGTCAGTGCTTTAGGCACTATGCACCAGAGCTCCTTATTAATGAAT